AAATGCAACAATAAATTTATTTAAGAAATAAAATGAAACACGGAATTTAAAAATCTATAATGTTAAGCTTTAACCTCTAAGTGAGACCTTGACCATGGAGGTAGGGGTACAGGTAATGTGCATGACATATCGCCTTTTATTGTAACTATTTGTGCCAAGTTTTTTCAAAATCCCTTAAACTATGAACAAGAGGGCCATGATGGCCCTAGATCGCTCACCTGAATTATCAAACTCATCCAAACAATTACCTAGACAAGCATTCTGACCAAGTCTCATGAAAGGTGAGTCAAAAATGTGATCACTACAGTGTTAACAAGGATTATCCATATTTGAGCAGTGCGACCTAGTTTTTTACCCAGGTGACACATATTCAAACTTGACCTAGAAATCATCAAAACAAACTTTCAGACCAATTTCCAGGATACTTGGATCAAAACAGTAGCAACTAGAGTGTTAACAAGATTTTTCTATTTTTAGCTCCGGTGACCTAGTTTCACATGCGATTTCGAACTCATCCAAGCAATTACCTAGACAAGCATTCTGACCAAGTTTGATGATAATGGAGTCGAAAATGTGACCAATAGAATGTTAACAAGGTTTTTCCATATTTGGGCGGTGTGACCTAGTTTTTCATCCAAGATGACCCATGTTCGATCTTGACTTAGAAATCATCAAAACAAACTTTCAGACCAATTAACAGAATATTTGGATCACAACAGTAGCCACTAGAGTGTTAACAAGATTTTTCTATTTTTAGCTCCTGTGACCTAGTTTTTCATCCGAGATGTCCCATGTTCGATTTATTCCCAGCAATGACCTAGACAAGTTTCCTGACCAAGTTTGATGACAATTGAGTCAAAATTGTGACCACTAGAGTGTTAACAAGGTTTTTCTATTTTTAGCTCCTGTGACCTAGTTTTTCATCCGAGATGACCCATGTTCGAACTCATCCGAGTTATTACCTAGACAAGCATCTTGATCAAGTTTGATGATGATTGATGCAAAAATGTGACCGCTAAAGTGTTAACAAGGTTTTTTCTATTTTTAGCTCCGGTGACCTACTTTTTCATCCGAGATGACCCATGTTCGAACTCATCCAAGCTATCAACTAGATAAGCATCCTGACCCAAGTTTGATGATGATTGATGCAAAAATGTGACCGCTAGAGTGTTAACAAGTTTTTCTATTTATAGCTCCGGTGACCTAGTTTTTCATCCGAGATGACCCATATTCGAACTCATCCGAGCTATTATCTAAACAAGCATCCTGACAAAGTTTGATGATGATTGGGTCAAAAATGTGACCACTAGAGTGGTCACAAGGTTTTTCTATTTTTAGCTCCTGTGACCTAGTTTTTCATCAGAGATGACCCATGTTCGAACTCATCCAAGCAATTGACTAGACAAGCATTCTGACCAAGTTTGATGATGATTGGTTCAAAAATGTGACCACTAGAGTGTTCACAATGTTTTTCTATTTATAGCTCCTGTGACCTACTTTTTCATCCGAGATGACCCATGTTCGAACTCATCCGAGCTATCACCTAGACAAACATCCTGACCAAGTTTGATGAAGATTGGGTCAAAAATGTGACCTCTAGAGTGTTCACAAGGTTTTTCTATTTTTAGCTCTTGTGACCTAGTTTTTCATCTGAGATGACCCATGTTCGAACTCATCCGAGCTTTCAACTAGATAAGCATCCTGACCAAGTTTGATGATGATTGAGGCAAAAATGCGACCGCTAGAGTGTTCACAAGCAATTGTGGACGGCCGGACGGACGACGGACATTCATCGATCCTAAAAGCTCACCCTGAGCAAGCTCAGGTGAGCTAAAAAGTTATCGATCAGACATAACATATACCCTGTAACAGACTATGTTAATCTTTGACCTTAAAGTGTGACCTTGGGTGTAGGGACCCATGTTTTTGCGCCTGACATATCATCTTATTATTGTGATTATTTGAGCATTGTATTTTTAAAATCCCTTGATCTATAAAGAAGTTATGGACGGGACACAAAATATACCATATAACAGACTCTGTTAACCTTTTACTTCTATGTGTGACCTTGACCTTGGAGCTAGGGGTGCAGGTGTTGTACTTGAAATATCATCTTATTGTTGTGACTATTTGTGCCAAGTTATTTCAAAATCCCTTGAACTATGAAGAAGTTCTAGATCGACTCAATATATACCCAATAACAGACTATGTTAATATTTGACCTCTAAGTGTGACCTTGATCTTGGAGGTAGGGATGCAGTGTTGCGCATGACACATCGTCATATTATTGTGAACAATTGTGGCAAATATTTACAAAATCCCTTCAAAGATAAGAAAAGTTATAGACCGGACACGACATATACCCTCAAATAGACAATCACAATGTTGACCTTGAATGAGCAATTGTGACCTTAACCCTGGAGGTAGGGTCTATTTGTTGCGCATGACACATCGTCTTATCATAACAAACATTTGTGCCAAGTTATTTCAAATTCCTGTGATAAATGACAAAGTAATGGACTGGACACGAAAGTGTGACGGACGGACGGACGGCCGTCTGCCTGTCCGTCCATCCGTACTCACAAAATGGCACTTATGTGACTTTTCCTTTGATCTTTTTGGCCATTTTTATTCACACAAGGCTTAAAAAAAGACACACAAGTGAAAACGGAATAAATAGGATCAAAGAGAATTAACTGTTACTTATTGTTCTCCAAGACACACAAGTACCTCTGGGTTCGTACGGACATATACCCTCTAATGCGCTCGGACGGACAGACGGACAGAGCCTATTTCTATATCCCTTTTTTTTCTTTGAAAAGGCGGGGAGCAAAAATGCAATAGCCAGTAACCGAGTTTTAAACTGATTTTAAATATCATATGACATTTTTTTTTATAACAAACAAGCAAATTCGTTAAATTTATATTCTGCGCCAAGTACTGGTTATTACTAACACAATAACTGGAGACATGAGGCTTTATTTATATAAATTTATCATGGCATTTCATAATGATGAGATTCCAATAAAATCTTGTTGAAATTAATCCAGTAGTTGAATAGAATATTGCTCTACAGGCATACAGCAAACTTATTAAGGGCCATAACTCTTGTCTTGAAGGCTCTGACCAGAACAAGACAATGGTTTGCACATCTCCTCTTGGTATTAATTGTTCCAATAAAGTCCCCATACAGTTTTGTTGAATTCTAGCCAGTAGTTGCAGAGAAATAGTGCGGAAACGATAATTGCTCTATATGCATTATACATAACTAATCAAGGGCCATAACTGTGTCTTGATTAGAACAAGGTGACGATATGTGCATATCCTCTTGGTATTGAAGGTTCCCATAAAGTTTCATTATATTCCTGCCAGTAATTGCAGAGAAGTAGCGCGGAAACGATTATTGTTCTATATGCATACTGCATAACTAATCAAGGGCCATAACTCCAGTTAAAGAATCTGACCATAACACGGCAACAATATGCGCATCTCCTCTTGGTATTGATGGTTCTCATTAAGTTTCCTTGAATTCCAGCCAGTAGTTGCAGAGAAATAGCGCGGAAAAAATTATTGCTCTATATGCATACTGCATAACTAATCAAGGGCCATAACTTTGAGTTAAAGGGTCTGACCAAAAAAGGCAATGATATTGGCATATCCTCTTGGTATTGAAGGTTCCCATAAAGTTTCATTGAATTCCAGCCAGTAGTTGCAGAGAAGTAGTGCAGCAAAGATTATTGCTCTTTATGCATACTGCATAACAAATCAAGGGCCATAAATCTGAGTTTAAGAGTCTGACCGGAGCAAGCTGATGATATGCCCATCTCCTCTTGATAATTATGATTCCCATAAAGTTCAGTTAAATTTCAGCTAGTAGTTGCAGAGAACTAACGCTAATTTTTAATGCCAAAACAATATTCCTCTACTGATTCTATCGGCGGGGATAATTATGACAACTTGTTTGTATTTTAGTTGTACTCAACAATGTATTTATTCCAATCTGATCGAGAACTGTATGTCACTAACAGAAAATAGTTTCTCCATATTGGGATATGTATTGTAATCATTTTGAGTAAAACAAAAACGAACAAAATGTCATTCTTGTCATAAAGAAACAAAGTTAATGTAGAAAATCTAAAGATTTTATAAGTTTGGTCAGTTCAACGTATAACAAGGTTATAAGATTGCCATTTAAACCATTTTTTTCTGAACGTGACACCCCTACTATTTACCAAGTTTGAATAAATAAGTCATTCTAAACTGTAATTATTGTCTGGAAACCAAAAAGGTGACTTCTCCCTTATACCTGCCTAAACTTTGTTTGTGGGGTATTATTATTGTCCAAAAACCATTTTTTAAATTTTTAGTGACAATAAACTTGACTTTGATCCCAAAGGGTCCAAAAGTAATCCCAACCATGGTTTTCACATAAGCTGGCTGTATACCAAGTTTGAATATACTTGTACCAAACACATGTTATAGTCTGGAAACCATGGAGTGGCCGAACAGACAGACAAGCGAACTGGTATATAACCCCCTGAACATCATTTGTGGGGGTATAATGATCATTGCTGTTATGTTTCAGCAAAGTCTAACAAGCTACTGAGATGTCACTTCAACATATGTTGAGATGCTATGAACTTACACTATGTAATCTTTCTGGCCCTTTATTTTAAAGTTAAAAGAAAAATTTAAGGTCTTCCTATGAAAATTATATCTTAGTAAATCTTTATAAAGATCCAGTATATTCTTGGATTTTTTACTTTGGTCTATATGCTTAATCTCTGAGACCCTAAAGAAATCTCACAGGCATACTTCAATATTTTGCTCTAACCTGTTAACTTGCTAATGCTGATGCTAAGTTACTCTCTCAGTTTGATTAACATTTCATCTTTCATCCAAATCTAATTCAGATATATTTCAATAATTCTGCTAATACACTGTATTCTTTGTTTAACATGATGTGTAGAAACTGGCAACAAGCAAACAGTAATCATTACCTGCCTATCCATTGACGTAGAGCACATGGTGGTCTTCTCACTGCCAAGGAGACACAAGTTGAAGGCAAACCTGGTATGACCCCTGCCTGGTGCATGCAAAGAATTACACTTGTCCTTACCTTCTTTTGTTATATCCCACAACAAGATATCACCACTAAAATATAAAAGACAGGTAGCAATGAGTACCCTAAGAATTAAGCAGAATTCAACAAATTAATAACATTTTTTGTAAAGGGCCATCCAAGGATCATTCCTATCATATAAAAATTTATTTGGTATTTGTAAAGCTTATTTCTATTTTGGCAGCAATCTTGAGCATAATTTATTAAGAAATAATATCAAAAGAGTTTCATTAAAAGAAACAGAGCATCTCAGCCACTATTCATAATAACCTCAGATTTAAAACAGACTGAAAATAGTTCTACCAGGTGGTTTTTAAATGTAAACAGTAACAGAGAGTGTTATCTTTGACATCAAAAGTAAAATAGTCTATTTCAGTAAAATTATGATTGAAAATTTTTCTGACAATATCAATTTAAAAATGTCCACTGATGTAGGATTATAAACAAATGCGAACAAGTAGACATTTTGATATCCAAACAGGTTTCCACAATCATAATAAGAAGTATAGGAATATGAATAACATACTGTTTACTTTAATAACAATTTATTTACTTAAAGACGTTTTCTGGAGTTATCATATAGACATATAGGCAAAATTAAAACTGTTCTATAGAATTTCTTTAATCTTGGCATGTTGTTAGAATATGATAACAGAAACATTTTAAGCGAAAAAAAAATTTTTTTGCCTATAATTATTATGTCTATATGAAAACTCCCCAGAAAACGTCCTTAATCTTGGAGTACTCAATATTGGTCAACAACTCACAGCATTAAATTACTATTTGTTTCTTAGTGTAGCTTAGAACGAAATACATTTTCCATTCTATGTTTTCTTACTATTTGTGTTCAAGGTCCTTACCCGAAGTTTACCAGAAAGGGCCAAGAAGATGCTATTGTCATGGAAATCTACTAATTAGTTGACAAGGACATGTCAATTAAACCTTACTTCTACTTCTGTTAACTGTTTTCACTGGCAGACCAAAATGATTTTTGACCATTTTTGAAAAGGAGCACCCGAGGATTATTCCAATTGAATTTCACCAATGTTTCATGCTTAATATCTAAGATGAAGAAGTTATGGAAGGGACACAAACTATACACTATAACAGACTCTGTTAACCTTTTACCTCTATGTGTGACCTTGACCTTGTAGGTAGTAGGGGTGCAGGTGTTGCACATGACACATCCTCTTATTATAGTGACTATTTGTGCCAAGTATTTTCAAAATTCTTTGATCTATGAAAAAGTTATAGACCGGACACAAATATACTCTGTAACAGACTATGTTAATCTTTGACGCCAAAGTCTGACCTTTACGTTGAAGGTAAGTGACCAGTTTTTGCCTATGGCACATCATTTGATTATCAATTGTGGCAAGTATTTACAAAATCCCTTCATAGATAAGAAAGTTATGGACCGAACAGGACATATACCCTCAAATAGACAATGTTGACCTTGAATGAGCAAGTGCTACCTTGACCCTTGAGGTAGGAGTCTGGTTTTTGCACAAGACACATCATCTTATTATAACAAACATTTGTGCAAAGTTATTTCAAATTCCTTTGATAAATGACAAAGTTATGGACCGGACACGAAATATACCCTGTAACAGACTATGTTAAAATTTGACCAATCTCATACCAAATATGAAGACTGTGGGTCAAAGGTTTCTCAAGTTATTGGGCAGACAAACTTTTTGAAGTCAAAGTCCCTGTGACCTTGACCTTTGACCCAGTGATCTCAAAATCAAAAGGGGTCATCTTCTAATGATGACTAACCTCCATGCCAAATATGAAGCCTGTGGGTCAAAGGAATCTTAAGTTATTGGGCGGAAATTTTTTTTTAGTCAAGGCCCCTTTGACCATGACCGTTGACCTAAAAATCTAAAGGGGTCACCTATTAATCACGACTAACATCCATGCCAAATATGAATACTGTGAGTCAAAGGAATCTTAAGTTATTGGGCGGACAAGCTTTTTATTGTCAAGGCCCCTGTGACCTTGACCTTTGACCTAGTGACCTCAAAATCATTAGGGGTCATCTACTTATCATGACTAACCTCCATGCTAAGTATGAAGATTGTGGGTCAAAAGGATCTTAAGTTATTGGGCGGACAAGTTTTTTCTAGTCAAGGCTCCTGTGACCTTGACCTTTGACCCAGTGACCTTAAAATCAATAGGGGTCATCTTCTAATCATGACTAACCTCAATGCCAAATATGAAGCCTGTGGGTCAAAGGAATCTTAAGTTATTGGGCGGAAAATCTTTTTTTAGTCAAGGCCCATATGACCATGACCTTTGACCCAGTGACCTAAAAATCTAAAGGGGTCACCTATTAATCACGACTAACCTCCATGCCAAATATGAATACTGTGAGTCAAAGGAATCTTAAAATATTGGGCGGACAAGCTTTTTGAAGTCAAGGCCCCTGTGACCTTGACCTTTGACCTAGTGACCTAAAAATCATTAGAGGTCATCTACTTATCATGACTAACCTCCATGCTAAATATGAAGATTGTGGGTCAAAAGAATCTTAAGTTATTGAGCGGACAAGCTTTTTCTAGTCAAGGCCCCTGTGACCTTTGACCCGGTGACCTCAAAATCAATAGGGGTCATGTACTAGTCATAACTAACCTCCATGCCAAATATGAAGATTTTGGGTCAAAAGAATCTTAAGTTATTGGGCGGACAAGCTTTTTCTAGTCAAGGCTCCTGTGACCTTGACCTTTGACCCAGTGACCTCAAAATCAATAGGGGTCATCTACTAGTCATGACTAACCTCCATGCCAAATATGAAGATTGTGGGTCAAAAGAATCTTAAGTTATCGGGCGGACAAGGAAAAACCGACGGACGGCCAGATGTCCGGAAGGCCGGACGTCCGGACAGACAAGCTGATTCCAGTATACCCCTTCTTACAACTTTGTTGTGCGGGGGTATAATGACATCAAAGAGAAAGAACAGTTACCTATTGTCCCTCTAGCCACATAATTACTGTCCTGTAAGTGCAGACAGATGGACGGACATATGGACTGAGCCTATTTCTATATCCCCATTTTTTCTTCGAAAAGGCGAGGGAAAAAATATTTTTTATCTCACTGAAATGATTTTTGATTTTTTTAGCTTTCAGAATGAATTGTACGCATGCTCATATTCAGCATATAAGCAGATACACCACAGACTGTGATATAGACTTAGAGTCTGCTCAAGGGTTGCATGACAGCTTCACATTGCCTTGTTCAGGTGAACATTTGGCCAAGTTAGAAAATAATTTGAAATTAATAGAAAGTTTGTTATTCTAGCCAAAAAGAGGTCATATTTTAATTCATGTAAAAGCTGAAATGAAGAAGTAATCTGAAAATTTATTTAGGAGAAAACTGTTCAAAAATAGAACCTCAATGAGCTTGAAATAATTTGCTGTGGAGAATGAGGAGGCCAGCATAGAGTTAACCAAGCTCTTGCTTTACCCCCATCATCTCCCCTTTCTCTTCTACCAGGGGCAGGTAACTTCATCACCATTAGTTGCCGGGCCCGACTTGAACTCCATAAACGAATAGTTTTATCTTTACTACCAGAAGCCAGTAACCAACCATCTGTACCAAAGCCATGTTCATCAGCATTACACAGAGATTTCTTCTTCCAAGACCCTTCTGAAACATTGTTAATTGAAAATAAACTTCATTGAAATAAAATAAACAAATATGACTTAATAACAGATTAACAAAGGAATTTTAAATTGGCTGATTAATATCAGTCTTGTAGAAATCCATAATTATAGAAATTCTACAACTTAAGCTCAGAGCATTTTATTTTCATACATTGTTTTAGCCTGGGGTTCCACGTTATCATGGTAATAGCTGTTTAAAACATTTCTGATAAACTTAACGTTTATCAGAAAAAGAAAAATATGAAAATAATACATGAATGAGATTTTTCTTCTTTTAATTAGTGATCCTTTTCTAAGACAGTCTGTCAAATATTTATTTCTGAAGATCCAATTTAAATGTCATTTTTTAAACTATTTTCATTGTCTGCCAATTTGGGTGATTATCACAGTAATCCCCAAATATGCAAGTATGGAAGGATAGATGTGTCATAATCTTCAAGTTGTGAAAATCTTCCAACAGCTAACTTGCTATAAAATTCAAACTACAGTAAACTCCTTCATTTACAACAAACTCATTGGGACATTAAAAATCTGTTCTTTATATCCAGAGTTCCTAGTAAGCATATAGCGAATTAGTTCCTTGTATCAGGAGTTTTTATAGCGAACAGATTTACATATAACAAATTAAAAGTTTACCATTGTCCGCCACTTTGAAGAGCATTTGATTGAGAAAAATTAGTCATTTATTTCTTTTTTAGTCACAATACCAGACAGCGTACTTTTGGAATTTGAAAATCCTTTAGTTTTAGTTTTACCCCCTTTCTCAATTTCTCATAAAATATCATAATATGTTTCTAAACTCAGTGCTTTTTGTTTTCTTTCCATGATTAAGAATAATCAAGATTTTTGATTTTTTTCTTCCTTTTATATTGAATATCTTCTATTATATTTTTAGGGTGATTTTTACTAATGAAAGAGATAAGATTTCTTTTCATTTCAATCAAGCGTACTTTGTAGTTTTCAATGGATTATGTTTGCAAGCAATAAATGACCATAATTATATTACTCGAGCAAAACTATTAAGGACAATTTCTCATAAATATCATAATATGTTTCTAAACTCAGTGCTTTTTGTTTTCTTTCCATGATTAAGAATAATCAAGATTTTTGATTTTTTTCTTCCTTTTATATTGAATATCTTCTATTATATTTTTAGGGTGATTTTTACTAATGAAAGAGATAAGATTTCTTTTCATTTCAATCAAGCGTACTTTGTAGTTTTCAATGGATTATGTTTGCAAGCAATAAATGACCATAATTATATTACTCGAGCAAAACTATTAAGGACGTTTTCGGGAGTTTTCATATAAACATATATATAGGCAAAATTAAAACTGTTCAATAGAATTCAGAACTCAAAAACGAGAACGGTGACCCCAAATTGTTTTTCGCTTAAAATGTTTCTGTTATCATATTCTAACAACATGCCAAGTTCTATTCAACAGTTTTAATTTTGTCTATATGTCTATATGAAAACTCCTGAAAACGTCCTTAAAGAAAAGAAATAATAGAATAAAAGGAATAACCATTTTATCTTGGTACAAGAACTCTTGCTTAAACTAGAAATGTGTCATCATGCCACAGATGCCCCCGCATGCAACCAAAATTTCAGATGTTATAATATTTAGTTCCAAATTTATTTGCACAAATTATTTTTTTCATTTTAAGTTCAAAGCCCTTAAAACTATTCAATGTTAACACAAACCATTTTTATACAAAGTTCAAGGCACTGAAACTAAATTCAGTGTTAACCTTTTGTAAATTGCATATGATGCATATTTGAAGACAAAACAAGAATTTGTAACAAAGTTACCAACGTCCCCCGGACGCTTAATATGAAGCATAAAATTGTGCTATTTCAAAAGATTGAGGTATGGATCTCAGGACATTCAGTCCATAATTATGATCAATGCTAGATCTGCAAATGTAACAATAAATTTGTTAAAAAAAAATAAAATGAAACACGGAACTTAAAAATCTATCATGTTAAGCTTTGACCTAAAAGTGTGACCTTGATCTTGGAGGTAGGGAAGCAGGTGTTGTGCATGACATAACGTCTTATTATTGAGACTATTTGTGCCAAGTATTTTCAAAATTCCTTGAACTATGAATACGTTATAGATTGGACACAAAATATACCCTATAACAGACTATGTAAATCTTTGACCTCTAAGTGTGACCTTGACCTTGGAGGCATGGACACAGATGTTACGCATGACATATCATCTAATCATTGTGACTATTTGTGCCAAGTATTTTCAAAATCCCTTAATCTATAAAGAAGTAATGGACGGGACACAAAATATACCAAATAACAGACTCTGTTACCTTTTGACCTGTAAGTGTGACCTTGACCTTGGAGGTAGGGGTGCAGGTGTTGTACTTGACATATTGTCTTATTATTGTGACTATAAGTGCCAAGTTATTTCAAAATCCCTTGAACTATGAAGAAGTTCTAGATCCGACACAAAATATACCCTATAACAGACTATGTTAATTTTTGACCTCTAAGTGTGACCTTGACCTTGGTGGTAGGGATGCAGGTGTTGCGCATGACACATCCTCTTATTATAGTGACTATTTGTGTGAAGTATTTTCAAAATCCTTTGATCTATGAAAAAGTTATGGACCGGACACAAAATATACCCTGTAACAGACTATGTAAGTATTTGACCTCCAAGTGTGACCTTGACCTTGGAGGAAGGTGACCGCTTTTTGCGCATAACACATCATCTGATTATTGTTAACAATTATGGCAAGTATTTACAAAATTCCTTCATAGATAAGAAAGTTATGGACCGGACACGACATATACCCTCAAATAGACAATGTTGACCTTGAATGAGCAAGTACGACCTTGACCCTGGAGGTAGGGGTCTGGTTGTTGCGCATGACACATCGTCTTATTATAACAAACATTTGTGCCAAGTTATTTCAAATTCCTTTGATAAATGACAAAGTTATGGACCGGACACGAAATATACCCTGTAACAGACTATGTTAAAATTTGACCTCCAAGTGTGACCTTGACCTTGAAGGTAGGCGACTGGTTTTTGCGCATGACACATCGTCTGATTATTGTGAACAATTATGGCAAGTATTTACAAAATCCCTTCATAGATAAGAAAGTTATGGACCGGACACGACATATACCCTCAAATAGACAATGTTGACCTTGAATGAGCAAGTGCGACCTTGACCCTGGAGGTAGGGGTCTGGTTGTTGCGCATGACACATCGTCTTATTATAATAAACATTTGTGCCAAGTTATTTCAAATTCCTTTCATAAATGACAAAGTTATGGACCGGACACGAAAACACGAAAGTGTGACGGACGGACAGACGGACGGACGGACGGACGGACAGACAGACGGAGCCTATTTCTATATCCCCCTTTTTTCTTCGAAAAGGCGGGGGACAATAATGGATACATACATTTCCACAAAAGTATGAGTGCTGAAACTGAAAATTCAAAATATTTCCAACATTTAAGAAAGATAACTTTGTCCAAATCATTGAACCACGACCAAATTCAAACTTGAACTGCTTATTCCTAAGATGTATCTATATATCAAATGTGAGTTGAATGTGTACAATCATTAGGGAGATAATGAACGGAAACTTAAAATTTCTGATTTTTTTTCAAAGTTCAAGAGGGATAACTCTGTCAGCTATTATCAAACCATGACCAAATTCAAACTTGACAAATGCATTCTTATGACATATCCATATCTTTAATTTGTTGTTGAATATGTACAACTGTTGGGGAGATAATGAATGTAAACTGAAAATTTCCTTTTTTCAAAGTTAAAAGGGGAAAACTCTGCCAAAAATCATCGAACCATGACCAAATTCGAACTTGAACTGTGCATTCCTTTGACATATCCATATGTAAAATTTGAGTTGAATATGTAACACTGTTGAGGAGATAATGAACAGAAACTGAAAATTTCATATTATTTAAGTGAAAGGGGCATTACTCTGCCAAAAATCATTGAACCATGACCCAATTCAAAATAGGCCTGCGCATTCTTTTAACGTATCCATATGTCAAGGTTGAGTTGAATGTGTAATACTGTTGGGGAGATAATGAACGGAAACTGAAAATTTCATATTATTTTCAAAGAAAAAGGGGCATAACTCTGCCAAAAATCATCGAACCATGACCAAATTCAATCTTGACCTCTATTTTCTCTTGACATATCCATTTGTCAAGTTTGAGTTTAATGTGTAATACCGTTGGGGAGATAATGAACGGAAACTGAAAATTTCATATTATTTTGAAAGTAAAAGAGGCATAACTCTGCCAAAAATCATCAAACCATGACCAAATTCAAACTTGACCTTTATTTTCTCATGACATATCCATATGCCAAATTTGAGTTGAATGTGTGCAATCCTTACTAAGATAATGAACAGAGACTGATGATGACGGAATGTCACAGAATGACGGAAGGACAGAATGACGGAACAGGGTAACACTATATGCCTCAGCCATTATATGGCAGGGGCATAAATATCCTAAATAGAAAACTATAACATACTGCTATACAAATTCATTTTCATAGATGTATTGAAGTACATACAACAATAAACGGTACATTATCTGCTGAGTTTTAATCCATGCCAATGAAAACGGGAAGTACAGAATCAATCAAACCGAGTCTGCAATTTTCATGTAATATTGTTGTAATTAATGCTTCCGATGGATCACTTTGTTTCCAGATTTTGAAAACGCGGGATATATTTATGAATAGCCAACATTTTGGAGTTCGTTATAAAAGTCAGGGTTCCCACACTTTTTCCAAATTGAAATTCAAAGACTTTTCCAGGACCTTACTGGATTTTCAAGGATGTCTATATTTGATATAACAACTTTTCAAGATCTGTATTAAAAGCCTTTTCAAGGACATTATCACATGATATATAATAGTATACCCTTTTTAAAGATGCATGCCTAATAAGACAAGTGAAAATATTTCA